GGGAATGAGCAGGAATTGGCACGCATTTCTGTGAAATGCAGGTGTGAACCATGCCTTCAGGTTTGGTGGTCAGTAGCACCTGTGGTCAGCAAAAGGAAAAATAGTGCCCTGTCATTGGTATTACTGGGAGGAATATTGCCCCACCATTGGTATTAGTTGAAGGAATAGTACCCCATCATAGGTATTAGTGAAAGGAACAGTACCTCATCATTGGTATTAGTGGGGGGGGGAATAGTGTGTCCCATCATTGGTATTACTCTGAGGCATAGTGCCCCATCATTGGTATTACTAGGAGGAATAGTACCCCATCATTGGTATTAGTGGGGGGGGAATAGTGTCCCATCATTGGTATTACTGGGAGGAATAGTACACCATCATTGGTATTAGTGGGGGTGAATAGTGTCCCAGTGCCCCATTATTGGTAATACTGGGAGGAACAGTGCCCCATCAGTGGTATTTGTGCGAGGAATAGTACCCCTTCATTAACGGCAATGGCAGGAATTATGCCCCACTGTTGGTGTGAGTGGGAGGAATAGTGCCTCATATCATTGGGAGGAATAGTTCCCTTATATCAGTGGGAGCAATAGTAGCCCAAGGGCTGGATAAAAGCTTGCTTAGGGCCACAGTTTGGAGACCATTGCTCTTGTGAATAGTGCTGTGGTTGGAATTTAAACCAAAACTCCTAGTGCTGCCAAATGGCTACTTAGACCACTTAGAAACTTTGCTGTCCACACATACAGAGCAATGCAGCTGAAGCAAACATTTAACCCCTTGTTGCATTTGGAGGGAAATACTGCCAATGAATGCAACCTATCCATGTGAATTGCAGGCGGATGCGCCATGGTAAGTTGGCCTTTTCAGGGATAAAATAGGCAGTGAGGAAGTATCAACAGTGGCTAAATTGTTAGCACTTCCATTTGGCAGGACTAGGGTCATCTGTTTGAATCCCAACCATGGCACTACCCACCTGGAGTTTGCATGTTCTCCCTGTTCCCGTGTGGATTTCCTCTCAACTTCCGAAGACATGCTGGTAGGTTAATTGACTCCTGTCTAAATTGGCCCTAGTATGTATGAATGTGAGTTAGGGACCTTAGATGTATGCTCCTTGAGGGTTAGGGACTGACGTGAATTTGCAATAATTTGCAATATATATATATATATATATATATATATATATATATATATGTATATATAAAATGCATATATGTAAAGAGCTGTGTAAATTGCCTGAGCTATATAAGTATTTTTAGTAATAATATCACTTCCTCACCACATGTCAAAGGAACTCTAACAAAAAAAAGGGTTTCTGCATGTCAGAATGAGCCCTTAGAGTTATTCATAAGATAGACCAAGAATTATTCCTCTCATTCCAGGGTGCATGCCAATACCCAACCTGTGTGCCGTTCATGCTTGTTCATGTGCATAAGTGCATGTGCAAGGCGGGGGCAGATTTAAAAACACAATTTAGATGTTTTTTTTTTGTATTTTTATTTTTTTCATTTTTCACTTTATTGCTATCACAAGAGGCTAATGAGTACTTTATAGATGAAACATACTGCTAATGGAGATATTGGGTTCTTTCAAATTCACAACACATGTTACAATCTGATTGTACAATCTCCTTTAGATCTATCAACAGATATAAAATATAGTTTCTAAATTGATTGGATAGTTTAGCTAGGTGCTTATATTACATAGTTTAGGTAAAGCTGATTGTACAGATTGTAATGTGAGTTTTTTACATGCCACTACTTCCTCTGATATAGTAGTTGCATTAGTGGCAGTAAAAGGGTTAAATTCAATGTGAATGGGCTGCCCCATCCTTCCCAATGGACCAACCCACTTCTGAACTAAATTTGGCAAATGCAAAGCAAGTGTGCTGCGAAGATGCATCAGGGTGTTATTCACAAGGAAAAACACCATAGTGCAATGCACATTGCCTGACTTAGGCTACGTTCACACTAGCCTTGTTTGCAAGCGGCAGAAAGGCGTTTGGGAAGTGTTTTTACCGCTTCCCAAATGCCTCGAACAATCACCTCAGACCATTGCAGCACATGGTGCTGTTCTAACAGGAGCGGTAGCGGCGCGGCAAAACGGACGCCTCTGGTCGAGCCAGGAGGCGTTGAAGCCTCCTATTCTAGTCTATGGTGCCGCTCTGCAAATGCCCAGCCGGCATTTGCGACGCGGTTGCGGGGCACTTGCGGAGCGGTAGCAACATTCAAACTTCATTATAGGTGTTTGTGGAGCGTTTTTAACGCTCAGCAAATGCCTAGCAACCACCGCTGAACCGCGCATGCGGCATTTGCGGAGCGTTAAAAAACGCTCCGCAAATGCCGGACCAACGCTTGCCGAACGCTATAGGGGCGTTTGGCAACAGTTGGTAAAACAGTCAAGTGTAAACGAGCCCTTACTGTGTGTTAGCAGCCTGGTGTAAATGGACCTTAGTCTAGGTTCACACCTATGCATTTTCCATTGCATTTTGCGGAAACGCACAGCAGTCTGTTTAACATGATTTCCTATGGGACAGGTTCACATCTGCGCATTTTCACCCAATGCGCTTTTTGTAAAGGGTCAGGAACTTTAAAAAAAAAAAAATTGCGTTTTTGGTTCTATAGACTTCAATGGAGATGCTGCAGAGAAGCATGTAGTGTGTTTTTGATGCATTTTGCATTTTAATCTGCCCAGCAACAAGTAAAAAGAAAAACTAAAATGCAAAGTGCATCACAAACGAGGCAAAAACGCTTCAAAAACACGTGCAAAAATGCAAAACGAACTGCAAAACACACTGCAGGAACGGATCAAATGCAACCTGCATAGGTGTGAACCTAGCCCAAGTATCAGCCCCTTGTAATCCTCTGGACAGCAGAACTCATACTGAGATGGAGGCCAATCAGGTATGCTGCATGCATATGTGCTGAAAAATAACAGGCAGAGAGAGCAAAGAGATAATCTCAGCAGTCTGCAGCGGCTCCTTCACTGTCCAATCACAGAGCAGGGGCAGGAAGGTGACTGTGCTACATAACCTCTGAGATAGTAGAATCAGGCTCCCTGCTTGTGCTGTCTGGCAGGGCTGTGTAAATCTCCAGACTGGATTGTTACCAATACAAACCCTATGGCAGATAAAGCAGTTTTAGCATACACATTTAAACTGTGTATGTAGCTGTTTGCCTGGAGTTAAGTGTTCTAAACAATGTCAGTCACAGTTGTAATACAGAGAACTGCATTTCCACGTTTTATAAATGCCATAAAGAGCGCTGTGCTCTTCCTAAATATGCTCCTTGTTGTAGGCTGGACCACCAGGGACTGAGCAAAAATAAAACGTTTGTGGCCCCGGGGATGTGCGACACGTAGACAAGCACGTTGTTGATGTTGACTACTAGAAGAGGCTTGGAACTAGACAAACTATTACTGATACACATCAAATAAAATAAAAAATATATCCGCGCTGGCTAGACACAAATTGGTAGTATAAAGACCTAATGATAACTATGAATGTGAAGTGCAGTGCTTATACAGTTGAAAATGTAAAACATAATCAATAATATACAGTGTCAAAAATAAATGTCCATGTGAATAAATAATGCAAACCAAATAAAAAATTATTGAAGGTGCTAAATTAATGTCCATCCACCACCATAAAGAGGTGTTCTTGCTTGAAGAAAAAAACCCCAAAACAAGCAATTCCACTTATATATGCCATCACTGTCTCCCAGTGAATTTCAAACTCACCAAAACTGTTGGCTGCCACTACAACAGCATAAACACCCATATAATCAAATAGGAACACATGTGTCTTGATGTGAAAATCAGTGAATAAATCTCATTCCATCTATCGGGGCTCCAGTAAAATAAAGCTCGCCAGGAGCAAAGAATGTACTTCCAATAGTGTAGTATTTAATGTGTAACAGGTGAAAATAGATACATAAAATCAGAAAAACAAAAACCAAACAATTGCCAGCTTACAGAAACAATGTCCCGGGATCGTGAGCGGGTGACGTCAGCACTGAAAACTCCTCTCCGACGCATTTCGTCCAATCAGACATTATCATCAGCAGCTGTTTTTATGTAAGCTGGCAATTGCTTGGTTTTGTTTTTTTTTTCTGATTTTATGTATCTATTTTCACATTTATTACACATTAAATACTACACTATTGGAAGTACATTTCTTTACTTCTGGTGAGCTTTATTTTACTAGAACCCGGTAGATGGAATGAGAATTCACTGATTTTCACATGTGTTCCTATTTGATAATATGGGCGTTTATGCTGTTGTAGTTGCAGCCAACAGTTTTTGGTGAGCTTGAAATTCACTGGGAGATGGTGATGGCATATTTAAAGTGGAATTGTTTGTTTTGGGGTTTTTTTTACTGCTTGATTATATGGGCGTGCATGCTGTTGTAAAGGCAGAAACAGTTTTGGTGAGTTTGAAATTCACTGGGAGACGGTGACGGCATATTTAAAGAGCAATTGTTTGGTTTTCTTTTTCAACAAGCAAGAGCACCTCTTTATGGTGGTGGGATGGACATTAACACCTTAAATAATATTTTTTTATTTGGTTTGCATTATTTTATTCACATGGGTATTTATATTTTTACACTGTATATTATTGATTATGTTTTAAATTTTCAACTGTTTAAACGCTGCACGTTAATATTACTGATATACATAGGGGTAGATTTACTAAAACTGGTGCACTCAGAATCTGGTGCAGCTGTGCATGGTAAATCAGCTTGTTTAGTTAAAGTGTTACTAAACCTAGGACCCTGCATTCACTATATCTGGTCTCCACACAGAAAACAGAACATGGAAATGCAATTATTTTAGTAAAATATAAACTGCTAAATACCTTTTCTTTGCAGCAGCTAGAGTAGTCTTGTGACTTCTATTGTGTTCAGCAGAGCACTGGTTAAAGCTTGTAGGAGGAGTTTTCTTTCTGCTCTAGGAGGATGCAGAACCCCTGACCTCTGTTTGGACAGAGCTGATTGGCACTGTGCTGATCACATCCACTCTCCCAAAAAAAAAAAACCCAACTGTCTAGCAATACACACCAAACTGAGCATGTGCAGAGTGTCTACAAACAATATGTCTTATCATGAGATAAGAGGGGGGCACTGGAAGATGGGGAGGACCAGAGAAGACAGGATCAAACAGCCTTTTTACATAATGTGGAGGATTAGCCCCTTAGATTCCACAGTGAATATAACAAGCATGCTTCACTGCATATACAGACTAATTTTTACTGCTGTTGGTTTAGTAACACTTTGGCAATAAAATCTGGAAGCTGATTAGTTTCTTTACAGAGCTGCACCAGATTTTGCACTCTCCAGTTTTAGTAAATAACCCCCATAGTGTTGGACATACTGGTGTTGATTTGCTAAAGGCAAATAGACTGTGCACTTTACAAAGTGCAGTTGCTCCAGAGCTTAATAAATAAGGTAAACCTTCACTTTGCAAAGAATACCCAATCATGTACAAGAAAAATAAAAAACAGCATTTGTGCTTGCACATGATTGGATAATGTAAGTCAGCTGAGATTCTGCTCATTTAGGCTACGTTCACACTAGCCTTGTGTGCAGGCGGCAGAGAGGCGTTTGGGAAGCGTTTTTTTACCGCTTCCCAAACGCCTCTGCCAATTCTGCACATTACAGCACATGGTGCTGTTCTAACGGGAGCGTTTGCGTCGCGTCGCGTTGCGTCGCGGCAAAACGGACGCCTCTGGACGAGTCAGGAGGCTTTGAAGCCTCCTATTCTCGTCTATGGTGCCGCTCCGCAAACGCCCGGCCGGTGTTTGCGGTGCGGTTGTGACGCGGGTTGCCGGGCGTTTGCGGAGCGGTAACACCACTCAAACTGCATTATAGGCGTTTGTGGGGCGTTATTAACGCTCGGCAAATGCCTAGCAACCGCCGCTAAACCGCACATGCGGCGTTTGCGGAACGTTTGCCGAGCGTTAAAAAACGCTCCGCAAACGCCGGACCAACGCTTGCCAAACGCTATAGGGGCATTTGGCAAGCATTGGCAAAACAGCCTAGTGTGAACGAGCCCTTACTAAGCTGTGGAGCCACTGTGCTTTGCAAAGTGCACAGTCTATTTGCCTTTAGTAAATCAACCTCAATGACTACTAAAGCTGGTCATAGATGTATTGAAATTTGCCTGGTTCAACAGGGACCACACAAAATTTCAATCTATGTGTGGCTGCTCCCAATCGACAGAAGTCAAGCCAATGATTGACTTCCGCTGAACAGGCTTGTTGGAAAAATTTTTTTTAAACTGCAGCTGCAACTGATGAAAAAATATATACTCCTAAGCCCTGCGCCCTGTGTGATATGCACTCCTGAGCTCATTCACACCACACAGCGTGTTATTGTGCACATAATGCCACAGACTGCAATTTGTTGGTAAATGCATTGCAATACTTATATTTCTCCTTTTTTATCTTTACACTTCAATGTAATTCTATGCACTGCAGTGCATTACAGCATGTTGGAACATACTATGTAAAAATGTCCTATTGTTTTTCAGAGCACACCAACACCGTTTTTGGTGTGATCTGACCTAGGAAATAAGGCAAATTGCTGGACTGCTAAGAGAACTAAGATTTTAGTTATTATTATTATTGTTTTAGTTATTATCTAGATTTTTACAGTCAGGTCTCTAAAATGTCTTGTAACACTTCATACAAGGGCTGGGTACTGTCATGCACAGCGCAGCATCCTTATCATCAAAGATTAATCAGGTGGAAGCTTTAGAAAGTCAAAAGTAAATGGAGCACACTGAAAAAGCAAAGAAGACAAAAAAGTCAAGTTCAACATAAAGTCACTGATATTTAAAAAAAAATGTTTTCTTTTTTTCAAGAGATCTCAGTTAGCCTGTACAATGCAAAAAAGTTAACTATAACACACATACAGTGGGGATCGAAAGTTTGGGCACCCCAGCTAAAAAGTTGTATTAATGTGCATAAAGAAGCCAAGGAAAGATGGAAAAATCTCCAAAAGGCATCAAATTACAGATTAGACATTCTTATAATATGTCAACAAAAGTTAAATTTTATTTCCATCATTTACACTTTCAAAATAACAGAAAACAAAAAAATGGCGTCTGCAAAAGTTTGGGCACCCTGCAGAATTTATAGCATGCACTGCCCCCTTTGCCAAGCTGAGACCTGCCAGTGTCATGGATTGTTTTCAATCATCGTCTGGGAAGACCAGGTGATGTCAATCTCAAAGGTTTTAAATGCCCAGACTCATCTGACCTTGCCCCAACAATCAGCACCATGGGTTCTTCTAAGCAGTTGTCTAGAAAACTGAAACTGAAAATAGTTGACGCTCACAAAGCTGGAGAAGGCTATAAGAAGATAGCAAAGCGTTTTCAGATGTCAATATCCTCTGTTCGGAATGTAATTAAGAAATGGCAGTCATCAGGAACAGTGGAAGTTAAAGCAAGATCTGGAAGACCAAGAAAAATATCAGACAGAACAGCTCGCAGGATTGTGAGAAAAACAATTCAAAACCCACGTTTGACTGCACGATCCCTCCAGAAAGATCTGGCAGACACTGGAGTTGTGGTACACTATTCCACTATAAAGAGATACTTGTATAAATATGGTCTTCATGGAAGAGTCATCAGAAGAAAACCTCTTCTACGTCCTCACCAAAAAAAATCATCATTTGAACTTTGCAAATGAGCATATAGACAAGCCTGATGCATTTTGGAAACAAGTTCTGTGGACCGATGAGGTTAAAATTGAACTTTTTGGCCGGAATGAGCAAAGGTACGTTTGGAGAAGAAGGGGCACAGAATTTAATGAAAAGAACCTCTGTCCAACTGTTAAGCATGGGGTTGGATCAATCATGCTTTGGGGTTGTGTTGCAGCCAGTGGCACAGGGAACATCTCACGAGTAGAAGGAAAAATAGATTCAATAAAATTTCAGCAAATTTTGGATGGTAACTTGATGCCATCTGTGAAAAAGCTGAAGTTAAAGAGAGGATGGCTTCTACAAATGAATAATGATCCTAAACACACCTCGAAATCCACGGGGGATTACATCAAGAGGCGTAAACTGAAGGTTTTGCCATGGCCTTCACAATCTCCTGACCTCAACATAATTGAAAATCTATGGATAGACCTTAAAAGAGCAGTCCGTGACAGACAGCCCAGAGATCTCAAAGAACTGGAAGACTTTTGTAAGGAAGAATGGGCAAAGATACCTCAAACAAGAATTGAAAGACTCTTGGCTGGCTACAAAAAGCGTTTACAAGCTGTGATACTTGCCAAAGGGGGCAGTACAAGATATTAACTCTGCAGGGTGCCCAAACTTTTGCAGACGCCATTTTTTTGTTTTCTGTTATTTTGAAAGTGTAAATGATGGAAATAAAATCTAACTTTTGTTGACATATAAGAATGTCTAATCTGTAATTTGATGCCTTTTGGAGATTTTTCCATCTTTCCTTGGCTTCTTTATGCACATTAATACAAATTTTTAGCTGGGGTACCCAAACTTTCGATCCCCACTGTATATGTAGAAAAGTATCTATACCTGTATAGAATGAGATAACATGTAAGGTCTATTCACATCATAACCTGCAATGCGGCGATTTACCTCAACGTATGAAAAATCTAAAATATATGTATTTTCCACTGCCAAACTGTGATAAATACACCCCTGACAACGTCAATTGGATGATGAAACGCATTGGGTGGAGCTTCGTCGTGTGACGTCACCACGTTCTGGAGGGACGGTGGCCATTTTTCTGGTTGGAAACTTTGTTCAATGCTGGTAACCATTTATATTGATGTACGTGGAACTTGTATTAAATTGTTTCGTTTTAATAGCAAAATACTACACTATGAGTGGTCTTCTTTTCATATTCTTCATCTGATTACTGGATGGGAGTCTTTTTTAAGGCCTTTAAAGATCTTATGAAAGGAAGATTGAATCTTATCCTTGGAAGGATTGTCAGCTTCATCATCTGCACTACTGATCCCTCTTTTGGGCTGCGTTTATTGACCGGTGTGTTTTGGTCAGAACGTCCGGTAAGGGGTTTATTCATTTGGGTGCCTTGGTGATGGTGGATCGTGCCAAGCTCCTCTTTGTGCAATTTATCCAAACTTTTTTTAAACATTTGGACTTTATGATTATCTATTGTGATATAGATTATCGCTGCATTTTTCACTTATCACTTATGTGATAAATACTACAAGAACCAGCAAAACTCATTAAAGTGCATATACATATGAAACAATCCCAGGCAAGTGGTAAATAATAAATAAATAAATAAACAATCAAATAAATAAATAGTAAATTCATACAATTCATGAAAAGTGCAATCTAATGAATATTGTAAATTAATAATCCAAAAAAATTTGTAAAGAAATGAGAAAACAGCCAGTGTAATGCTGTGTGAAACAAAAGTGCTCTCTTGTGCGCAAAAAGTACAGCCACAGCGATCTTGTGCCTCCAGTCCTCACTGCTTTGCACACCACCAGGAGGAACATCACAGCCTCTTACTGGAAGCTCAGACCTCTGCAAACAGAAGGTCTAACAGAGCCTTATGCAAGCCATATATGGTTCGAATTCCTATGGCTTTTCGTATGCAAATCAGACCTAAGAATAATCGGCCGATTTTCGCTCTGTTAGTCGGGCAATGGCATCGGCCGATTTTCGTGGTTCCTCTCCATGTTGTTTATTGGGCATGCTGGAAAATTTGTGAAAAACAACCAATTTTCGAAATCATCGGTGGCACCAATGGATTAAAGAACGAACGACGTTTCGATTTTCGGACTAAAAATCGTTCGGAATTCGAACCATGTATGGGCTGCATTAGGGAGGGATCCCACTAAGGTTGGATGGATCACCAGTCAGCTCTGGTCACAATCAGCCAGCTAGGTAGTGGGAAATAAATCTCCACTGACACCACCCCTCCTTGTTTCTTAAAGTGTTACTAAACCCACAGCAGTAAAATCAGTCTGTATATGCAGTAAAGCATGCTTGTTATACTCACTGTAGAACCTAAGGGGTTAATCCTCTGCACTGTGTTAAAAGGATGTTTGATCCTGACTTCTCCGATCCTCCCTTTCTTCTACTGTCCCCAATCCATCTGCTGACAGAACAGAGCCTTGAGGGCAAGCTGCACTCGCTCAATTTGGTGTGTATTGCTAAAGAGTTTTTTTCTCTTGCATGTGATCAGCATAGGGCTAATCAGCACTGTTCAGACAGAGGGTC